TGTTTTACATCTAATATAAAATGTTTATATTTTAAACCATAATTTTGACATAAATATTTAAATTCTTGTTTTCTTGCCCCTAAACTTTTAATATATATAATACAATTTCTAATTTAGAAATATGAGTAGAAATAATATTCAAGGCATCTTGAATACATAAATTTAAGATGTGACATGCACATCTAAAATGAAATAATTTACTATTTAAGCATGGTCTTAATTGAGATTTTAAAATATTTATTGTAGATTCATTATTGCTGGCATTATCAAAACTAATAGAAAATAATCTATTCCATAAACATGCAAAGTATTTAAAATACTTGCAACAATAGCTGGGCCAGTATGTGGCCATTCAAGCCTAATAAAACTTAAAATTCTTTTATTCAAAAGCCAATTTTCATCAATGAAATGGCTGGTAACATAAATATAACTTATATTAAATTTGGATGTCTAAATATCTGAAGTAATTGCAACTTTAGAATTAAGATATGATAACAAAGAAATTAAATTTTGTTGATATGAATAAAAAATTTTTAAAGCATCCGACCTAATAGTATTCCTAGAAACTTTTTTATATTGTGGGTTTATAGAATTACGCAACCATTTTTCAAGCTTTGGATCTTTAGCTAATATAAATGGTTGTTCTGCATGTACAAAATACTTAGATAATTCTTGTCTCATTTTTTCTTTTGAATATTTAAAAGTACCAGAAGTACTCCCCCTCCCAATTTGTGTTTGAGTTATTTCTCTCCCTTCTCATGTGTGAGAAGATGTTTGGTCAAATGACCCGTACCACCCTTGATATAATAACTAAAGTCCTTCCTACATTTTTGACAAACTGCCCTTTTCCCCTTCCCCTCAATATCCTCTACTTTGAAAATTTTCCAAACCAGGCTACTCAACTTAGAGGCCCTCCTTTTTCCCCTAGTATCAGTACCGAGGGTGAGTTCCACTTCCATTGATATCAATCGCATCAGTGCTAACACTATCATGATGTGATTGAATATCGTCAATGGTGAATATGTTGGGGAATCGGTTTTCGGAAGAGCAACCATTTTTTTTAATTCTAAAATGATAAAAATTAATTTACCCGGATTGTCGGTTCAAAATCCCAACTTGATTACAACGGTTAAAGCCTTTCAACGTCCAAGCTTCCCAAATTGAGATACTTGAGTCGGTTGAGCAAGCCTTCTTGTTGAAAGTTGAAACTTCAGTAAAGTTGAGACTTGAGAATTGGAGAATGCAAAATCAGACAATCAGCTAATCAAAACTACTCAGATTGTAGAGAATTGAGAATGTATGAGTATGAGAGAGGTATAGAAGAGATTAAGACAATTGTTGAATTGGTGTGAAGATATTGGTGGAGGATAAGGCTATTTATAGGAATTGAACATAATTCAATTGCCCAAAATACCTAAAAAACTAGCTGGTATTTAATTGTTGGGAAGGGTATTTTGGTCATTGTAAAGTTATTTATTACTTTACCCAAAAAGCCCCCTTAAACTAGTTGTTTATAGCTGTTGGGGGGGCATTTGTGTCATTTTTTCAATCCCTCATAAGCAAAATACACAAATACCCCCCCAATATGGCTGTTTATAGTTGTAAACTAGCCGTTGG